AATAAAATATAAATATGAAATTAACCAATAGAATATATAATAAAATATCATCCAATTAAATTTATGATATGAATTAATCAATAAAATAAAAACTAAATATTCATATTATAACAATATTATGTACTATGTTATAACTATATTATGTTATATATTACTATATCACACTATATTATTATAATACAAAAATATATATAAATATAAGTGTTAATAATTAATAAAATTCAAGTTCTCTTAATTTAATTTTAAATTCTCTTGTTCTTATTTGAAGTTTTTTTTGAATTAATTTAAGTTACTTGATTTAATTTAAATTTGTTTAGTTTAATTATGTTAATTTGATTTATTTTTAAAGTTAAAAACAGTTTTTGATTAAGTTTTTTTTTAGTTTATATCAGGAAATTTTTATATTTAATTATTATTCAATAATTAACTATTATCAATTATTAATAATTGATTATAATTGATTACAATCAAATATAATCAATAATTATTAAAGTCAAATATAATTAATTTTTTATTTAGAATTAGTGATCATTTATAATTAATAATCATTAATTTTAATTAATTATTTACAATCAATTATATTTAATTATAATTAATTAAAGGCATATATACATTAGGAAACTTGTATTTTGTTAATAATTAATAATCAATTATCATTAATTATTGATAATAATTAATCTATTATAACTGATATTATTCTTGTTATTAAATATGTTATATTAATATTTACAATAATAAAATTGAAATTTCTGACTTTTTTATAATATACAAAAAAATTCAGTAATTAAAATTGAATAGAAAAAAACTAATTTGTATTATAAAAAACATAAAAATTAACAAATTTATATTCGTAAATATCTGGAATTTCTAAATAATATTTTCATGTATAATTATAATACTATTACAAATAGTATATTAGATATTGATAATTATTATTCTGATGATTTCCTTTTTAATTTTTCAACTTTTTTATTACTTCATAAGATTTTATATAATTCCATGCATTTTTAATAAATCCTAAAATAATATTAATTAATTAGTATATGTTTTTAGCAAGATAATGATTAACAATAAATAAGCTTAATCAGAATATATCCCAAAAAAATAAAAATTTTAAAAAAATCAAATCTGATGTATATTATATTCAATAGCTAAGTTTCTGGTCCCCACGTAAATACTACCTTTCAGATAATAATGTTTCGGGTATAGGTTATTAGGGTGAGATATTTCTATCTCTAGTTATTTACTAAGTAATCATTCAGATTCACAAAAAGAGCATTAATATAAGATTACTCTTAAAAGTAAAAAGAGTATTAATATAAGACTACTCTTAAAAGTAAAAAGGGATATTATATATATTTCATCATTTAGATCACTAAAGAAATATACGAATAAAAATATTAATCTTAAATTCCACTAAATTTCTCCAGAAATTTTTCGATGTTTTAACAATAAGATTATTTGCATTTAATTCTTGAAACGACACATTAATTATATAATAATAGGCGCGTGGTCCATCACGTGATCGTGAGATGATCAATAATTATCTCTAAACTCTTAATTTAAATGTCACAATACCAATTACATAATGTCATAATGTCGTCACGGCAGTTATAATCTAAATCACATGACAATAGAACATCGAGACAAAAATATTGGCGATTTTACCAAACATTCCATTTCTCCAGGCAATGCAAAATCCACCGCGTTCATTTCCTGTAGACAATAATGGCTACATCGACGAATCATATCTAGACACGTTATCATTGAACAATACTAACAGACAACCAACAGCACAGCAATCTTCACGACTATCACCTTACATCACAGGAGGGATGTCCTCACAAAGCGAGAATACAATACTACAGGGAGAGCCACCACATTCGCCAAATGACGACGACGAGGAAGATCAAACTGAAGAAGATATTGATGATTTTGATCGACAAATCCAAACTCTAATGCATGATTTACAGGTGGCTTTCTTCGCAATAGCTTTACCTACTTTGGCAAGATGGTTGGGTCGAAGGCTCTCAATGTGGGGTGAGTGAGTCTGCATTCCTTTATAGTTATCTGTTTCGTTTGATTATCTTAAAAGAATATCGTGTAATTATTTGATCTATTTTATAAATAAGCATGGACAAGTTATGTACAGTGGTATTATCAACCACGCGTCTCAGATGAACGTGATAAAAAAGAGAAAAACTCGAAACGTAAAGCTTGATTTGATTTATTGTCAGAAACATTTGCAAGATGATTAGCAGCTCTGGAAACTATTATTAGTAGCATTTCTTAACCTATATAATCTGTAAAAAAATAATTAATAGTTTGATGCATCCATAACCATACTCTTCCGATGCTACTTTGCCTTTTTATAGAATCCATTATAAGAAACCGAAGAGAGTTATTTTATTGATCTAAAATTATAATTTAGATCACAATACAATGATATCCTTTTATTTAAATTATTCAAAGAACCAAGATAAATATCTATAAATGGAAGAAGAGAGATAATTTATTTTTAATTGGATATATTCGATCAAAAAAATCCACCGGCAACCAGCATCAACTTATATAATTACGAAAAGATTAAAAATTCAATCGGTAACTATGCCGAAAGGTCAACAATTAGTTTAACGTTGATAATTCCACACACTAGAAAAAGAAAAAATGATCATTATTAAATGTCGATAAATATATACCGGTAAATTTTATCAAATAAAGAACTTACTTTTTCAATACTATCAAATTAATTTTCAGAGATCATCAGTATATATTTCAACACAATAGAATAAAATAAAATAAAAATAAAAAATAAAAATAAACTTACGTCCATCATCTGTCGCTAAACGATTTAAAGAGTCGTCCGATTCACCTTGCCCACGAATGAAACCACATAACGCATAAGTGGTAAAAGTGCCAGTGAATCGCCCTTGTGCGTCGACATTACCAACATTAATTTGGACTGATGCATGATCTTTTGCAGTGATGAGACGGTTCGTAGCCGAGCTTTTTTTAATATAATTAATTATTAAAGAAATTATTAAAGAAATTAAAAAAGTAATTACAAATGATATAATTCGATTTATTATTATTGTTATTATTTTATTTTATTCAAGTACCATTTTCTCGGTACGTAGAGATCTACTATATCGCCTTGATCGTTTTGCATTTTTTTTTTTTACGGCAAGAAATTTAAAACCACTTGAACAAAGCAAACAAAAAAAAACTTGGTAAAAAGATTTTATGTCACACAAAATCAATCAACAATTATAGGTGATAGGTTACACATATTTCTGACCTAACGCTAAAAAAACAATCAAGAATAGAAATAACAACAAATAATAACCTTTTCCGTACAAATAAAATTCAGTGTTTTTTTTAAAAATATTTCGACGTGTGTTTTATTCTAATGGGACCCATGATGATGGCCACATCCTTCGATCCTGAGTCACAAAATGCACCAACACAAGCTCAAACAGTTCAACAACAGCAACAACAAGCACTTCAACAAGCACACCAACAACAGATTCAAGCTCAAGTCAACGGCTCTACCGGCCATAGTCGTCACAGTAGCATTGCTAGTAATCACGCGTCTGAGCCACCGGAACAAGACGCTCGTGATAGTCTAGAAACAAAATTGCAAAGTATGATCGCTTTATTATGGCAGGCCGCTGTGACTGTTTACGATTCTCAGGCGAATAGCGATATTTTGAGTAACATTTTGTATGTATGGTTTTTCTTCCATTAAATATTTGTATTGTATAATTGAGCGAGTTATTGAGCCTATTTTCTCATTTATAAATAATAAAAGCACTCGTTACGTGAATGAATTAAATGACTTGGAAAACACCAATGAATCGATAAATATCCAGATTCCAATTGAAGCACTCGAGTACCGTATTCTTCCACTTCTTTACCTATCTATATATTATTATCATCATTATAATTATTATTTTTATATTAACAATTCGTACGTGTATGTGGAACTACTATTACTACTCCTCCTACCTACTACCTACCTACCTACTACTACTACTACTACTACTTCTTCTTACTACTACTACCACCACCACCATGATCCGATCTATCTTATTAAATCCTTGAAATTACATATAATCATATCAGATGCCTTGAAGAGGGAGGCAATCCACAATTATTATTAACCGAGTACCTGGAAGAATTAATGGCACAAGAACAACAAATGAAGGCAAAAACTGACGCAGTAAAGGTGAAAAAAAATCTTTTATTTTCGTGTAATTATATGTTCAATTACAATATTAAAAAATTATGTATTATCTATTATCAAGAGCTTCAAAAGTGAACTAGAACTTGCATTGTTATCTTCCGAGGTTAATGATGATGAGGAATATTTATACGAACCAAATGGAGGGACAAATAGTGATACGATAAATGGTCATTGATGAAACTTTGGCTCGTCGACGTTCTTTTATTCTACATCTACCTATTTATTTATCTATCTATCTATCTATCAATCTATCTATCTATCTATGATGGTCATAATCCAATGCGCAAGAAGATAAATAATGCGCTCACATGCCGTCGAACTATATATGTGTTTTGAAAGGAAGAGTCTAACGATTCATAGCCTCATATCGGTTCGCATGCCGGCGCAAAAAAAGTTGTCTCGCGAGCAAAAAACAGTTCGAACCAACCATTCAACCAATCAACCAACAAAAAAACTTTGATGTTCATAGCATAAGTGTGATTCGAATATAATGATTACAATTTGTGGATATTCTTTAAAAGAACAATGGTCACTCATTGATAAAAATTCCGAGAATTAATAATATATTAGGTTATATTAATAATAATGATATTATTATTATTATTATTATTAATATTAATTAATCAGCATTTTTTTAAGAATATTCTTTTTATTTTTGTTATTAGTAATGGTGATTTTCTTTGGACTCTCAATTTTTTTTAAGAGAAACTATGAGAAGAGGAGCAGACTATTTATTTATAAGAATAAAACAGCTACCCTTAATGTGTACTGTATACTAGATGAATTAATATATAAAAATTTTTCATTATTATATATTTTATGTATCCATTAATAATCTGTTATTTGCCTGTACGGAATAAAGAAAATGCGAAACATTCAGTAAATATAAAATAATAAATAGAGAATTGTCAATGAAAAAGTAATTTATTCAAAAAAATACAATACGTAGTGAGAGTGAGAAAGTTGCTTTACGTTCTGCAATGTGACAATTATAATTAAACTTACTTTATGTTGTCCGAGTGAGTGCAAGCTAATAATAACGCATTGATAGTCACGAAATTTTTGCAAAACACAATCTCTACAAGCGCAATCCTTCATCTACAAGAACTCACTGTGTCAAGAGTTTTCGGCATAGGTAGATAGGTAGTTTTCTTTCAATTAGACTGATTTAGCTGTCCTGCATCATCGGAACCCGATGGTATTTTATTCAGTATATCATCGACGAAACGTAAAGTGTCTTCTATTGAGGGAGAATGAACAGAAATTCCCGAATCATAATTATCGTCAAAGTAATCAGGAGGCGGTGGGGGGTTTCCAGAGGATTGACCCATGTTGGATGTTATATCTGATGATGATTCTTCAGGATTTAAATTTGAAAATAATGATTCCACCGTTTCTTCCGAGTCATCACACATATCTGCAAGTATATTTTTAAGAATATCCTCTTCTTCTGCTAAATCTCTTAATTGTTTTTCGAAAGATTCTTCTAATTCTGATAGTTGCTTATACTCCTCTTTTAGCTCATCTTCGAGTATCTTAAAAGCATCTCTGAACATTATCGGTAAGATGCTAAATTAGTGATTTAAAAATGGCTGTAAATAATATAAAGTGATATATAAAATAAAAAATACCTGGCATTCGTTAGTGTCGATGTTGATGATGATTCTTTTGAAGGTAAATATGTTATTCTACCACCGGGTAATTGCAAAAATGGATATACACGACTATCATCGACACTATGTTCTGACACGTATTGATTAATGCGTGAGGAGAATTCCGCCATGTTAAAGTCTGAGGCTATTGTTGTTATTTGCGATGCAGAAGCTTTAGAAGGTGAATTGTCCACCAGTCGTTTTATCCTACCACCACCAGGTAAATGCAAAAAAGGGTGTGCACCTCTATCATTAACTTCAAGATCTTTGGTTGTTAATGTGCTGGTTGTTTCTGTGTCTCGAGTCGCTTCCTTATTCTTTGATTTGTCCCTGTCTTTTTTGTTTTGTTTGGCTTTTTTGCGGCAAGGTTCGTTTATAGTTTCTTCTTCGAAAGATTTCCTTTTTCCTTTACCAGACGAAGGGGGCATTTTTTCTATCGCTATTTTTTATTTTATCTGGAAAAGTTGGTTTGGTAAGATCGGCAAGATTTTCGTTTATTGATTGATGCTCGATTGTCACATGATTAGAATTACAACTGAGAAGACTATAGGATCTTATTCATGTGAATTTGCCGGTGTCTCAATGCCTTAGCCCATACTTGAAGTCACACCTCTACAGCATATATATTTTGGGCTTTGTGATTTCCCCAAATTCCCATTTTTTCCTCCACGGGAATTGTACTGCTTTACACAAATTTGTCGATTTGGCAACAAAAAAAAGTCACTTGCTTTCAATTTCGGAAAAATGCAGATTGACAATCCAGCTTTTGGCAAATCTACGATTAGCATTATTTTGATAATATTTTCGGTTATTGATTGATGTTCGATTGTCACATGATTAGAATTACAACTGAGAAGACTATAATAGGAAGAAAATTTCTTATTCATGTGAATTTGCTGGTGTCTCAATACCTTAGCCCATACTTATAACTCTACAGCATATATATTTTGGGCTTTGTGATTTCCCCAAATTCCCATTTTTTCCTCCACGGGAATTTGTACTGCTTTACAAATTTGTCGATTTGGCAACAAAAAAGTCACTTGCTTTCAATTTCGGAAAAATGCAGATTGACAATCCAGCTTTTGGCAAATCTACGATTAGTATTAGTATTGTATTATGCATTGTCATATCTTACCCCAACACCCCATTTTTATGGATCTAGTACTTATTTAAAGATCGACTTATTTTTCGGCGATGTTACGCCTATCGCCAAAAACAATTTTTATTAAAACGAATTCGGTCAGATAAAATATCATAGCAGTACTCCTCTTCACTTTTCGCTTTAACGAAAAAACAAATATCATTGTTCTTTTATGCGTGACGCGACGCGTATTACCTATAAATAATAGACACAATAGCAACTACATATATATATTACATTCGAAAAAATGTCTTCTTTTCACAAGAAACACCCTTCTGTAAGGGGCCGTTCTCACTTAAAGAAGCAAGCGGAGGTATTGCCAAATGAATTCGCCACATATCATTTCAACAAGGATGACATCGAGTCATTTGCGAGAGCACTTGCTGAAGATCCGAATTACGACTCGACCGAACACATTTCGGCAGTGACCGACTTCATGCCCATAAAACAGGTGATCAAAAAAGATACAGAAAATATACCGAGAGGCTTTGATGGATTTACTTATCATGTTTTACGTTTCCCTTTAATGGTAATTAATCCGTGCTCCTATTGATTTTATATCTGATCAATTCGAGATCTTAATTTATACTCCCGTAATTCAAACTTTCTGTAGTTGGCAATACTTATCGTGGTTGGAATTGAAGTACTCTTATATATTCTTGTAAGGCAAATCGTCAATATCTGGGAATATTTTGTTCAATGGTAATTCACATTGTTTATTTTAAATTCGACTTTACAATTCTTACAAACTAATATCCAATTGCCCGTTTCTAAAGGCGCGGAGAAAGATTTAGACTTCGTGAACAACTTCGTTGCGCTACAACCTACGAAGAATGGATTAATGCTGCTAAAAAACTAGATAGTCATCTTGGATTCGATGAATGGAAGGATGAGGTCCCATTTGGGTTTTACGATTTCAACTTATTACGTAAAGTCAATCGAGATCTCAAGGCGTTTCGCGAGGGTTCAATTCAAAATCCACAATTTTTAAAGGGTATTTTACAAAATTGTGTGAAAAGCAATTTCGGTGGTGTTGAGAATGGTCGATTGTATTCTCACACTTATTATGGAACTAAAAAAATTGTGGAACGATATATTGATGAAGGTTGGTTGGTTGGTTTGGCCAAATTATTTCATTCAATAATAATAATTTTTTAAATTAATATTTTTACTTTTGTTAGTGACCGAATCACTAGATTCTGTGCGCAAAAGTAAAGCATTGTCAATAGAGGAGAAGCAACAGCTTTTTAAGAATGCATACAAGAATTACGGTCGAACTGCACTTTGTCTTAGTGGCGGTATGATTATATCGAATAATTATCTTTTAATGTGTTTGACTTATGGATAATAAGACTTAACAATAAACCAACATTTTCTGATAGGCGCCGGCTTTGGATATTATCACCTTGGTATAGTAAAGGCACTTTTTGATGCTGATCTTTTGCCATCTGTCATCACTGGAACCAGCGCAGGAGGATATATTGCTGCTTTAGTTTGTGTAAGAACCGACGAAGAGTTGGCTCAGGTTTTGCATCCTGATATACATTGTCACATGACAGCGTGTTCGGATTCAATGTTTGTTTGGTTTAAAAGATTCTTGGAGACAGGCGCACGATTCGATGCTTGTGATTGGGCAAGAAAAGTGCAATGGACTACGAAAGGTAGTCTAACCTTTAGGGAAGCCTATGAACGCACAGGAAGAATCTTGAATATTTCTGTGATCCCATATGACCCACACTCTCCACCAAAATTACTGAATTATATTACTGCTCCTGATTGTGTTATATGGAGTGCAGGTAAGCCGATGCCTATTTTTCTGATTGCATTATTATATTCTAACTGTTTATTTATTCACGAAATTTTACTTCGTTACGTGTAGTTATTGCATCGGCTGCAGTGCCGGGGATTTTGAATCCGGTAGAATTATATCCATCTATACGATACTTCTTTGATAATGAATTTTTTACAAATATTACAGTTTACTCACAAATATGCTTATTATTTCGGTGTTTAGGTTGTCTTGATGCAAAAAACAAAGAATGGCACTTTGATCCCATATAACTACGGTCATAAATGGAAGGATGGATCTTTACGAACCGATATTCCTATACAGGCTTTACATACTCATTTTAATGTCAAATTTACAATTGTATCTCAAGGTAAAGATTATTATAGTTTCTTAATGTTTATAAATCTTCATCGAGATTTGAATTAATTTGCTTTGTTTATGCAGTAAATCCTCATATTCACGTATTCTTTTATAGTCCACGCGGAACAGTCGGTAAGAGAAAAGTTCTAGAAATGCTAACGCGAATTTTACATTTCGCAAAATTAATCTTGTTATAAATTGTGTGCCTAGGCCGACCTGTTAGTCATCGCCATGGTCGAGGTTGGCGTGGCGGGTTTGTCGCAGCCAGCATAGAGAAATATTTGAAGTTAGATCTGAGCAAATGGTTAAAGGTGATACGTGATTTAGAACTTTTACCCAAAGTAGCAGATCAGGACTGGAGTTCAATATGGTTGCAAAAGTTTGACGGGAATGTCACAATCTGGCCAAAATCTACTCTATCAGATTGGTTTTACTTATTATCAGATCCGGACGCTGAACGACTGGAAAGAATGATCACTACGGGCTTACGTGTGACCTGGCCTAAGTTACACATGATCTCAAACCGGCTACGAATAGAACGTGCTATAATAAGAGGCAAGGAACAAGTTAAACGCAAGGCACATAAACGTCTTAAACGCGCCGAAATCGAAAATGATGTATACTTAAATGCAGAGAGTGGCGCCAGCACTACGGCTGTTAGTTCAAGTGGGCATGACGAAGAGGAAGAATCATCGATAGCAAATAGTAATAGTTATGATCTGGAATATAACACATCAGAGATAGATCCATTATCAAGAGGATTCTCCTTAAATCCCTCAGTGTCTTCTTCAGAAGAGACAGAATCGCTGCAGGCAGCATCATTAAATGTTAATACTATTTAAAATGAACATTTGTTAAAGACTAATTAGATTTGAACAGTTTGCTTATTTACACGTAATCCATTATATGTTTGTATACTACTCAATGAAAATTACCATTATTGTTTATATTGAATAAATTCTATTCATACACATTGTATTTTCTCCGTTGACATATTGCCACGTTTCTAGAACTAAAATGGAAAAGAATCGCCGAAAAAGTAATTTTTCGAGTTTAAACTCCGCGTAAACTAACGTGAAGTGTATATATATAACGATAGATATCGATATTTAGTTTCGAGACCGACGAAAAATGAAATTATCGATCGCGAGTTTCAGCAGTCGACTACTCTTACTCTTACAACTATTGACAGGCTGGCTGTCGCTATATGTGCTAGCTGAAGTCTATTTTCAAGAAACGTTTTCTGATAATACCTGGGAAAAGGTGGTTAAACGAATAGTAAACCATGTATGGTTATAAAAGCCTCAACTAATCCCAAGTTTCCCTTATATTTGGTAGCGGTGGATTCACTCAAAGCATCGTGATGACCTTGGCTTGTTTAAAGTTTCTCCTGGCAAGTTTTTTGCTCATGAGATAGAGTCGCGTGGGTTGCAGACGTCACAGCATGCACGGTTCTATGCTATTTCGGCAAAGTTGGATAAACCAATAGATAATGCCGAGAAAAACCTAGGTAACAGTTTTTTGTATTTGACACAATAATAATGATGTAACTAAAATTATGAATCCTAATATTTAAAGTGGCCCAATTCTCGGCTAAAAATGAGCAAAACATTGACTGTGGAGGGGGTTATATCAAGGTGTGGTTATTAATTATTGTGACTTATCAATCGAGCGTTTTGTTTAAAGGGTTTTTTTCTTAAGCTTCTTCCGCCCGGATTTAATCAATCTGATTTCCGTGGCGACTCGGAATATAATATTATGTTTGGGGTGAGTTAGTATTAAAGGAATATAAATTCCCTCTTGTCTTTATAATTAACGGGTCGTGTAGATTCATGCATTTATATGATGCAAAGATTTTGTTATCAATTAATAACTCACATATGCTTTGCTCTTTCGATAGCCTGATATCTGTGGCAGCGTCCGTAAAGTCCATTTTATCATACAACATGATGGCAAAAATAAATTAGTCAAGAAAGAGATTACCGCTCCCATAGATCAACTAACACATTTATATACATTGATCATCAAACCAGATCAGGTAATTTTACATCGCGAGCTTTCTTTGTTCACTCACGCTGCAAATTTCATTCTTTAAATATTTTGATGCTACTTAAAAATGTATATAGACATATACCGTACTAATTGATTCCAAAGAGGAACTGTCCGGCAAATTAGAAGAAGACTTTGATATTACGCCTAAACTAATTGAAGGTTACTATTTCTAATTGCAGCATTAATTATAAATATTGTTTCGGAAGATTGAAGTGCATCGAGAATCAATGTTATTTCTCTATTCGATACATATATAGATCCTGATGCCAAAAAACCCGATGACTGGGTAGACAACGCAAAAATCAATGATCCAGATGATAAAAAACCCGATGATTGGGTAGATGGTCCAGAACTAATAGATGACCCTGAAGCCATAAAACCCGAAGACTGGGATGGTAAATCTTATTTTATTTGTCTTGACTTTCGCAATACTAAGGGGAGTGCCACAAATTACATGATATGTGTATGGTGCAAATCATCTTGAACTTGTTAACTAAGAAGTAAATACAAAATTTAATTGGTATATAATAGAATAAGTCTTTCTTATCATATTTACGGATTAAATTTTGTATTTACTTCCTAGTTAAGAATTTCAAGAATTTATCACATACAATTTATTATCAATTATGAATACAATTTGTGGCGCTCCTCTAATAACAAGCGTTCACTGGATTAATGTTATTTTTTGAAGATGAGATGGATGGAGAATGGGAAGCGCCACAAATACCAAATCCTAAATACAAAGGCGTATGGACGCCACGTCTTATACCAAATCCAGATTACAAAGGTGAATGGAAAGCTCCCCTAATTCTAAATCCCGACTACAAAGAAGACTCGGTACTTCACGCGTTCAACACTGAATATGTTGGCTTCGATCTATGGCAAGTCAGATCCGGCACTATTTTCGATAATATCCTAATTACGGATGACATAGAGTACGCAGAAAAATTCGCGAATGAGACATTCGCCGAGTATCGTGAAGCCGAACGAGATGCCAAGAAATCACTTGATAAAAAAGAGTCAAAGAAAGGTGTTGCTGATAAAGAGAAAAATGCTGCTGATAAAGAGAAAGAAGCCGAACCCTTGGAAAGTGAAGATGAACACTCTGAAAGTGAAGATGATGATTCTGAAGAAGAGAAAGACAAAGAAAAGAAAGAAGATAAATCATCAAAAGTTAAAGTTGATATACCTATTCCTGAGGAACAAGGTTCAAAGGTTACAGAAACCCCCGTCTTATCTAAACAAGACGACGAGGAATTTGACAAATTATTTGCTGATTTTGAACGCGACGAATTATAAACTTCTCGTCAGTATTTTATCATTTTGATTCTGATTTGCGTAAATACACTTTTTACCTTATTTATTAGTTAATTAATTCTTTTAGAATATATAGTTTGATTTTGGAATTTGGAATTTGGAACGTTATTTGTTAATTTAATATATCGCTTGCCAAGTCAATAATTAAATGAACACGGTAAATTATTTAGACGTCTTTATCCTGTATTTTACATTCGAGCGAGTCAAAATTCGAGCATTACATGTACTTGCTAGTTTGTTAAAATCCATAATCAATAAACCGAAGTAGTCGGGAAATTTTGAATTACTTGGTAAATTCGGTTGCCTTTATACTTCGACCAATAAGCTTTTGCAAATTCAAGTAAATAAATGAACATTACTCGAAAAATATATTTTTTCCAATTATTCAACTACAAATAATGCAAAGACCACCATCCCAACAACAGCAACAAACACGGTTCACCACCGATGCACCAATAACCTCTTCCTCGTTAACCACAGGCAATACCTCCTCAACTGCTCTAAACAAAAATTCAACCACGACGACCGTCGCGTCTCAACAAGTCTTTTTTGCACGCGTTGAGGAAGACCAGAATAGAAGACTAGACACAGAGGTTGAGCAATTGTTGAACTCGTTTAGGGATGTGGTGAAATTGGCGGGGTTTCATGAGACCGTGAGGTTGCCCGGGATGGAATCTGATAAAGTATTTTTTTTCGTTGATAATAGGTGGATGAATTCGATTGTAAAACGCTATTGTCTAATGCTTGTTATTTCGATTTTGCATAATAAATAGGTAGTCGAAAAAGACAAGTTTAGAACAGCGCTTGATGGCTGTGTTGCAGAACTACGCGCAGCTACTATTGTATTGTTCAATATTTCTTCTCTATTCAGTATACTACTTGGCTAGCAGTCATTCATTTCTGATTCATTCCATCCAATTGATCATGCATAGGTAAAAAGCTGTGAAAATCTATTCACTCTTACACACGACCTAAAAACCACACTACTTCTAAACGACACAGACACATTACTACGATTCAACAAACATCGTGCTGATGCTTTGAACGCGCGTAAAGCCAAAATTAAACGAAAAATTGTGGAATTGGATAAAGATTTGTCGATAGCTATTTGGGAAATAGAGAGTGCATTGGGTGGTGTTGGAGGAGGAAGAAGATATTATCAAGATAAAAACAATAACGGGGATGATGACTCTTTGGAAGTATTTGATCCCATGATTATATGATGAAATATATAAAATCTCAAATTATGTTTGATTACTGGATCTTTATCAAAGTTTTTTATCAGGTAGCACGATAACTATCATAAAGCATAATTACAAAGAAACCTCTAAGTGCAACCCCCCCTCCCCCTTTGGAAACATATTAAAAAAGATGCATTAGAGAGGGTGTGCATTCAGAGTAAATATTTAGAGGTCTTATAAGCTTGGGACTGAGCCATAGCGTGTGCATTTATAGAGGACGCACTTAGGGAGGTTTCTCTGTATTCGAATTCATCCTGAAGGATCTTATTTTGATACTTGTTTTTACTATTGTAACCTTCAGTGATTCGCCTTTGCTACGGCGCCCCTGAAAAGAGCGGGGATTCCAGTTGCTCAGTAAATGACAAAAGCAGTGATATCAGCGGCACCAACACCACTCTAGCAAATGTCATCCCGTCAATTTTTGTAACAGCTGCACCACCAACGTTGTCATCATTTGGAACAGCGGGATCAGTGACACCAACACCAGCCGTGTCAATAATAATTCTAGTTGTTTTAGTTTTAATATAATATTTTCAATTTTGTATATTCACTCAGTTACCATTGTTAAAATCAAAGATCACTACATTTAGGGTTGGGCATTGCTATATGTAGTTTTTATCTCCAGACTATATTGTTATTAAAATTTGTTTCCCCATTTTTACTAAATACTCACGTTCTTCTCGGACATGTTGGGCTGAACTTTTCAACAAGAGATCCGGAATATTAGGTTATTTCCGGATTAGCAAATGTCCGGTTTAACGGGAGCAGCATGTAAATGGATCTGTAGAATTGATTATCTTTGCGAAAGTCTTGTGCAGACTTTTATATTCGAGTTTCCAAGTATTCTTTCGATAAAAGCTGTAATTAGAAATCGCACGAGATAAATGCATTTTATAACGATAAATAAAATACTTATGGGTGATCTTTGGTCTTTAATCACGCATGGATCTTCATTCATGTGATGCATTGCTGTATGATAAAAAAAATTGTTTTTTTCTCACTCATGTATCAAAAATGTACATGCCACAACCTCAAAAACTGAGCGACGAAGAAAAGGCGCACCAAAGAAATACAGTTAGAAAAAATATAAACAAATTTCTAATAACAGTGGTGTTTCTTCGTATTGGTAAATGTTATAATTGAAAGTTGGTTGCTTTTAATACTATCAATAACACTATCAATAACACTTTCCAATATCAATAATAATAACATAGCTCCACTTTTATTTGATTACGCGTCAAAATTTTCAAGTCATGCACAATGAATATGGAAACGCCAAAAGAAACATAATCGTTTGGAACAAATACGAGCTGCTATTGTATGTAGAATGTCTTTTAAACATTCAAAGGTATGCATGCTGATGAACGATGATGATGATACCTTATTTATTCATAGCTGATATTTTTCTCATGTATTAAATAAATAGAATTCATAACGAGTTTTGCTTTTGCTTGATCCGTTTTTTAAAAATATTTGATATGCAATTATAATTGCTTAATAGAATTCTTTCTCGTTATATTTTTTTCTTATTGCTAAGTGTAGTCTCATATTATTATTATTATTATTATTATTATTATTATTATTATTATTATGCCAGTTAGTCTATATTATAAAGACTTTCCTTCGATTCCATCTCGCGAGTGATTACCCCTTGTTTTTCCAGTTGGGAATATATTTGGAGCGAAAAAAACGCATATATTTGATCTACAAGTTTAATTAAATATCCGATCAAAGAAAAAGGCTCTTCCTTTAGTGGACATAGTTTATAATTCGTCAATTCATCTCTTCTTTTATCAATCGATACGTGGAAAATCGGATTACGCCAATTTTCAATTAAGTGTTACTGTTTGCATACGCGCGCATGCCGTGATGTCATTGTATCGGAACTACTCAATCATTTAGATAAACGAAACACTAACGAAAAAGGAGATCACCTGGGATCAATCGTGATCTTATGGTTTTTCCAGCAAATTGTTGCAAAGTTTAATTGTTTAATTGCGGTACAAAAAAAGCACGTAATATTCAACGTGTAATATAACTTGTTGGGATCCTGTAAAATTGCACGTCCCATTCTCTATTTTGATGCATGTATGTTTGCATTATGACTCGATCAATCAAATCAATCGGGATAGGAAAAAAGTGGCTATTATGATGCAAATCCAAACATCACTTATCGTTATATAGGAAATTTTGACGTTTCCTCTTCCCTACCAGCTTCCTTCCTTTGACTCCTTGTTCCTTAACTCATATTCTTAAAAATACATTCTTTCGCGTGTGGGAAAACGTTGTCTTTGCGTGTTGTTTTCAAGACATTCAATAGCTCATCACACTGTCCAATAAGAATAATAATAATAATAATAATAAGAATAATAATAAACTGTGCTCTCTTTTTTTTCTTTTGTGGTTGGTTCAATTATTAGAAATCCATCCATCACATTTACTTAACCACCGATACACAGAGATATATATATTAAGATACCTTTTACACGTCAACCCTTTATCTTTCGTCTCATCATAATAATATATGTGCGTTTGTATTATTGATATAGAATAAAACAAGCCATGTATTGATTAAACGCCCGACTTCTTTTTATCGCCTCCCTTTTTTTCTCTATTCAAAGCGCCACATAATACATATCATTTCTAATTAAAATTTTCATTTGTACATATTAATAAATTTTTTTTCTTTCGCTCTCTCTTTCTTTTCTTCACATCAAATATTCTTTCTCTCACTTGCTCAACCAAGAGCTTCTATATATGCTTCAAGTCTCCCATCCCGCATCGTATCCTATTAACAATAGGACATCATCATCCTTCTATCAACGCAGTGGTGTTGAGATAGAAGAAATGGCGACGATCAACGAATTCAAGGAAATCCTCAATACCGAAGTATATGTTGATCTGGATCGGCTTCGTGAATCGGCCAGGCATGGAATTCCGATGGAAGTTCGTGGGGTAAGTCATATATAAAACGCGAGAAATCGATCGGATTGCATTTACGTGGAAGATCGATCAACTGGGTGAATCATTATACTATTTTTTTATGCTTTTCTTCGAATTTATATAAAATTTGGAACTGATGGTTATTAGATCGTCCCATTTCTATTCATTATCCATCCATACATCTAATTATCGTCATCAATCATCATCATCACATATTTTAATTAAAAATTATCAATCAAAAAAATATAGTTACTAAATTAAATTCGCAAATTTATAATACGCCAACATGATTTGATCTTTTAATCCTTTTTCCAATACAAACCTTTTTTATAATTTTATACAAAAATAAAAAAGGAAGTATGGAAGTATTTGCTAGAAGTAAATCCGGCTGATAGATGTAAGTTTAATCTATCATAATTAACTCTCGTTTTAAATAACTCGAGTCATTTATTAATAAGATGAAATTTAAATCAAACAAAAAAAATACAGCACAAGAATTGACTAGTCTCAAAGCAAAATCCGATGAATATCTAGCCATTGAGAAAGAAAACATGGAAATTGTCAAACGTGTACGCGGGGAAGTTAGCCGGTACCAACAAAGAATTAAAAACTTCGATGACACGAATGACTATACGAGCATATTTGAAAACGTCATCAGCGCGTATATGAATCATAATCGTGAGGTTGAGTATTACCCTGCTCTTGTGCAACTATCCGCACCTTTCGTGTACTGCGTGAAAAATGAGCCTGAGGTCTATTATTGCTTTGAGCGTCTAATGTCAATATTAGGTGATCTATTTAATTAATTTTTCTTTATTTATTGGAGATAAGTATTTACGTGTAAATTCACATTAAACAGATGAGTACTACTCTACTCATAATATCAATGAGAGGGTTGCGAATTTCATGACATTATTTCGGGCAGTTCTTCCCGATCTGTAAGTTAAGCCATCAAATTATCAATGTTATTCTTGTTATTAGTATTCAATTAACAAGGTAATTTCCTACTTGAATAATGATATTCGTGTTGTGTCATCATAGATATAATTACTTTGAAGAGGAGGAAGTTTATTTGAACGAGTGGGCAACCTCATGCTTACAATACCTACTGTCCAGAGAGCTTCAACTAGCTGATATAATGCGTCTTTGGGGTATTTTGGAATAATTACTGAAAATTTCTATTTGTTTGCACGAATTAAGTGTAACAGCTTAATATGTTGTTCTTAGACACGTATTTCTCAATCCCGGACCCAATTGAATTTCACCCTTACGTGTGTTTAGGTGAGTGCAGTTTTCTTATTCATTTGAAACAGGATTCAATTAGACTGATCGAAATTTCATTTATACAATTAAAGCCGTGCTAAAGCATTTCAAAGAAAATCTTGAAGAATTGGAACAATCCGAAATTCGAACATTATTGTTACGCTTGCCCTCAATGGATTTAGAGCAGGTACGACCACCTTCGTCTTATTACCACTACTCTTCGCACTACATAATAAAGTCCGCAGTAATTACCGCTTTATTCGCTAATCTTGAAATTTTGATCACCATACAGATTATAAATCAGGCTTTCAATATCAGACATGAATTCTTAGAAAGAGAAATATCCGATTCGCTTTAAAGAAACCCCTTCCCCAAAAACTATATCTAATTTTATATATATATGCATGCCAACATTTTAACAGTGACATACATATATTAATAAAATAATATAATTAATATTGATATTAATATTGATATTAATGATTTCTTAATAGATTCATTTTTTATTCTTTTCCGTTTAATTTTCACAACAGATACACAAAAATAATAATATTAGACAATAATTATTAGTTGAATGACGACAAAGCTAATATAATAGAAATAGATCTGTACGCCCATCAAAAATTAACGTAATACCACAAGGTTAAAGTTCTGATTTGATTCATCAATTCTAATTATACAAATTAGATTCTTCTGGATATGTATATTCATCGAATTTTACTTTCCAGCATGTTAATCTGCAAAGAAATTAAAAAATCCAGGTCATTTTTCAGCAATATAATTATATTGTCAGGTTCAATGGTAATTTTTAAATGTAATAGTGTGATTCTAATTATAAAGAAATGTTTTTATTATACAGTGGCAATCAGAAATAATGCAACGACGTCAAAATTTACTAATTAAACATAGTAAAATGCGTATTTTTCTC